ATGGCAGAAAGGTTAAATATGTGATGTTTTATGTGTGTGTTACAGAGATTAATTTCACAAAAAATAAGTACAAATGATCTCATTTATTGAATTACTTTATTTACTCTATGTAGTTCATTTAACAAAAAGTTTTATGTGTGTCAGAAAGAAATAAGATTATATTTTATATTAGTGTTTTAATTAAAAAAATAAACTAAAGGAATAGTTCACCCAAAAAACAAAAATTTTCTGAACATTTACACACCCTCAGGCCATCTATTCTATGAATTTAATTCTTAATCGGAACAGATTAGGAGAAATGTAGCATTATGTCACTTGCGCACACCAATGGATCCTCTGCGGTGAATGGGAGCCGTCAGAATGAGAGTCCAAACAACTCATAAAAACATTACAATAATCCAAAAGTAATCCACATGACTTCAGTCAATCAATAAATGCCTTTTGATGTGAAAAGCTTAAGGCGTTTTGACGTTAAACCTTAGTTTCTGGCCAAAATACTATCTGTTAGATGCAGAAACAAACTCACCTACATCTTGAATGGCCTGAGTAAAATTTCAGGTATTTTTCATTTTTGGGTGAACGTAATCCTTCAATATGTCACAAAGACGCAAACTTAAATTGAAGATGTTTTCTTTACAAATGGATCTGTTCGGAATATTTAGGTGGAGCTCCTTCACACTCTGGTGTTTCAAACATTGGACTACATCTCTAACAAAAACAAGAAGTACGTGTTATTGTCCTGGACCTCCGTTTTCTGTTTAATCTGTTGAATGTGCAGTTGGTATGTTCATGTTGTCATGCTATTTGTCTTTATTTCAACAGGCGTAACAAACAAGGTTCTTCATCAGACGGTAACCATGAAGATGCACCTTCAGGCAATGAAGACGATGATTGTGAGGTGCGTAAATGAGCAATACGGCTTGTTTATTTTAAAAAAAATTTAATGTTTTTTATATATATCTGTGTGAATAATTGGGTATTTTTGATGCAGTTTGATGAGATTGAGCAGGATGAGAATGTCAACTCTCAGAATATAACGATGAAAGATCCAACAGAGGTGAGTTGGGTTTCACCTCATCAAAGATTTTGTTTCTACAACTTAATGTGTATACTGGACATCCATGCTATTCTGCGTTTGTGTCTTTGACTGGGTAAACTGGGGGGAAAAATTAGGAGTAAAGTTAATATGCTTTTGATATTTACTAATATTACTGTTTAGCGATTAATAACCTTGTATAGCAGTTGTCTGTACAAATTCTTTCGTATTCTTTTTTTTAGCCAGTGAAGATTATCCGTCTCCCTCCTGAATCTCTCATTCCTGTAGAATCACTTGAGAAACAGAAATACCCCCTTCTCAGGTAAAGACACTCTGACCCACACAAACAAAGGAAATGGTTGCACGCTGTTCCTTCTGTAATCTTATTGGTACTACAGTCCAACGATATCAATCAAGTCCTCTTGCTCTTCAGGACAATATTGTCTGAACAAGTGAATCAGTTGCTGGAAATGAAGCTCGTACTTATAAAGAACTAAAAATGCTTTACCAAAATGATTGTTAATTGTTATCCTCTAGTCTTAAAGGGGAGCTTCTTGGCAGCTGTAAGGATTTTCGAATGAATAATTTCACCATGGACGAATCAGGATTGATGCGTCTGGGCTCTTCCCACACTCACTTCCTAAAGGAGGTCGCAGAAATCCAGCACAACTTCTTTGTACATGCACCTGTGCCCTTAGACAATGGTGAGGACACAGACTTATCGCGTGACAGTCTATACAAATGGTTTGCCTTTTTTTTTTTAATGTTTCATGACTTAAAACTTTGACATCAGATAATCAAAACTGATTAAAAAGTCACTTTATTGTCATCAAAGAATCCTGAAAAAATGTATTACAGTTTCTCTTTAAAAAATATGAAGCAGCACAGCTGTTTTCAACATAAGAAATGAGTATTTCGCACCAAATCAGCATATTAGAATGATTTCTGAAAGATCATGTGACACTGAAGACTGGAGTAATGGCTGCTGAAAAATCAGCTTTGCTATTACAGGAAAAAATTACATTTTAAATGATCTTACAATAGAAAACACTTATTTTAAGTGGTAATAATATTTAATAATATTAGTTTTTTTCCCCGGTATTTTTAATCAAATAAATGCTGCCTTCAAACACATTTTAAAAAATCGTACCGACCCCAAATTAAACCTGTATCTTACTCCTATTTCAAGACTAATAGATTACCACACTGGTCGCTTTTGTTTTTGTCTGATCGTTGTCATCTGGTGTCCAGAAGTTGTAGCTCAGGTTATTGGTGGTTATGATGATGATGAAGATGATGTTGGCGCAGAGGTTCTTCCTCCACTTGAAGATCATGGGATGGAGGTGGAGTCTGAAGAGAGGGTGGAAAGGCATCAGGTACCAAAACAGTTTGTGTGATTTAATGTTAATATATTTGGCATTCAGGCAAAGGTCTGTTAAATGTAATTTTTTTTTTTTTATTTGGTCTAGGCCCCCAGTGAGGGGAGGATGTTAAGGCCGAGACCTGCAGTACAGCCAATTCCAGAGGAACCCAAGCAGCCCAAGGTATAGAGCGGTGCACTGACATTAAATAGCCACTTTACTTCACACTAAATCAATCAAGTAACCACATTCACATGAAGTACATGTTAAATTATCAATATGTGACCCTGGACCACAAAACCAGTCTTAAGTCGCTGGGGTATATTTGTAGCAATAGCCAAAAATACATTGTATGGGTCACAAAGGTCTGTTAAATGTAATTTTTTTTTTTTTATTTGGTCTAGGCCCCCAGTGAGGGGAGGATGTTAAGGCCGAGACCTGCAGTACAGCCAATTCCAGAGGAACCCAAGCAGCCCAAGGTATAGAGCGGTGCACTGACATTAAATAGCCACTTTACTTCACACTAAATCAATCAAGTAACCACATTCAAATGAAGTACATGTTAAATTATCAATATGTGACCCTGGACCACAAAACCAGTCTTAAGTCGCTGGGGTATATTTGTAGCAATAGCCAAAAATACATTGTATGGGTCAAAATGACTGATTTTTCTTTTATGCCAAAAATCATTATGATATTAAGTAAAGATCATGTTCCATGAAGATATTTTGTAAATGTCCTACTGTAAATATATTAAAACTTAATTTTTGATTAGTAATATGCATTGCTAAGAACTTCATTTGGACAACTTTAAAGGCGATTTTCTCAATATTTAGATTTTTTTGCACCTGCAGATTCCAGATTTTCAAATAGTTGTATCTCGACCAAATATTGTCCGATCCTAACAAACCATACATCAATGGAAAGCTTATTTATTCAGCTCAAAATTTTACACTTATGGCTGGTTTTGTGGTTCAGGGTCACATATGATTTTGGTATGTTATGTTGGCATTCTGTAATACGTGTTGCATTATCATGGCCTTACAAAATACCATGTGCATATTCCAGGAAATTGTGGACCCTTGGAAATGGCATGATTCATATGCTGTGTTTGGGGAGGACAAACCCCTCAAAACAGGTGTGGGCTCAATCTGATGATGATGAATCTTCTTGATGTTTTTCCATTAAAATAACTCAATTATTCTTTCCCATTATGGCTTTTTGCTGTTGGATGTTTATTTTCTTCTTGACTCTCTAGGGAAGTGTTATAAAGTGCCAGCAGGTCTTGAGGAGTCTGGAAAGAGGAAGAGGAAGGGTTCTTCAAAACTTCAGGACTTTGGGAGCTGGTACTCTAAAGCCTGTAAGTTGTTATCAGGCTGTTATTTAAAAAGGAATGGAGGACATAACTGTTTAGATGACTGAGAAATTGTTTTTTCTTTTACAGTTGAGACTACGGATCGCAAGCTTAAGAATGGACCTACTTATCCTGGTAATACTTTAAGACCTTGTGCTATATAAAATACATTTTTCTCTAAGAAGTTGTTGTAATTTATACAAATAATGTTTTTTTTTTTAATTGTAGACCTTAATTACATCTT